GAACTGATAAAATTTTTTTAGAAATTCAAATTCTGACCCTGCGCGCTGCTTAAAGGCTGCCCTGGTTGGTGAGCAATTTGTTATATTCTTCATATTAAAAACCCCACAGTGAATCAAATATAAGAGATGTCCTGTATCAGATTTAAAACAAGTGGAGGACAACCTCTCACATACTCGCTGGCTGCAGCTGGCTGGCTGGATCGGTGTATGGACGGGTGGATGGATGGATGGATTAACAAAAGCTGGGTGGAAGTATCCATTTAAGTAGATTCTATAACTAGCTAAAACATCTCTCATATACATGCATGTGTATCACATCCCTTCAAAATTCCCCTTCTTTGCCAATCAAAGCTTCATCACAAAGGGAAAACACAACCGGCTGGTGGGGAAATCTAAGGTCAAGCTCCTCATCGCCTTCACAGTTCTCTCCTATCAACCCCCACCTCCTTTTTTCTCTTTCCTGGTCAAATGACACAATGGTCATGTATCACCAGCACTTCTACAAACCTACACTAACCAGGTGTAATAGATGGGGCTTGTTTTAATGTGGTTCTATATTCCCCCTAGTGGCGAGAGTTAGTAGTTTGTTTGTTTTTTGAAAAGGGTCAGACAGACCATGTGCTCATTAAGCTGTTAGTTGTATTTCCTTTCAGCTAACTCCTCAAAAGCATCGTCTGTAAATAGCTATCTAATTTTTTGCATGTGTAAACCATAATATAATTTACTGGTTTATGGCAAAGTTATAATTATATATATTCTTTGGAGAAATTATGCTGTGTTTTGTGTGTTACAGTCTTATACTTATCTCATTGAAAACCAGCTAAATACAAAAATGGGGTGCTTCTTGGCAGACGATTGGGAGAGTGTTTAGCTTCCTGTATAGCTGGGCTAATATAGTGCTCAGCACTACATTACCGCAGTAAAAGACGCTCCATGCAGAAGTTACGAAGAAAAGAAACAACTTTGGAACCATGGACAACGGAGGTGAAAAAAGAGCTCCTCCACCATTCCATGTGCTGTCAAGCTCCCATCAAGTTTTTACAATGTGTATGTGATGCTCATGTTAGTGCTATGCCTCCAAGTATCACTAAATCACTTCTAATTTCATCTCAACTTATACGCTGCACAGAGGACAGCGGGAGGGAAGGACCAATGAGGAAGTCTCCTCAAACTGTACCAAAGTCTTTGGTGCTTGCAGGAACAGTAAATCGTGTTCCAAAATTACTCTGGTTAATGTCTAACCCTCAAGTTAAACTAACAAAAGTAAGAGGCTTTATGTAGGTTTAGATGATCAGACCAAAACGTCTTTGGCTACAAGTGAGTTTTTAAACATCCATGGGAATGAAGCACTGTACAAATTTAAAAATTGAATGGGTGCAGCACAGGCATACGTTAGAAGAGCTCATGGTTATGTCATAGTCTTTGGGCAAGACAACTTCTGACATGGATTGAATGCGACAGCCTGCCTAACAACCGAAAAGAGATCCCTACACCTGGGACAGCCTATGCCAACACAGATCTGAAGGGAATAGCATTAGAAGTACCTCAGTTTGAATCTGATGCTGACATTCTCATGCTGATTGGAAGAGATCTGCTCAGAATACATAAGGTGCAACAGCAGGTACCTGGACTGATAAAAAACAACAACTTTATCTTGGTTGGGTAATTGTTGGCGATGTGTGCATCAGTGCCCTAACCCTAACCCATGTGATCGGGTGGGACGGTTTAGCTCCGTTCATGACCGTCGTCCGGACCCGATCTGGCCTTACTACCCTGCTGTCATGACATATCTGTCAGGTTCAGGAGCTAAGCCCGCCAAGTTAAAGGTGCTGGTGGCCACCTACGCACTTTTAACCAGGGTGGAAGGGTTCTCTGATCGGGGTTTTCCACCTGCAGATCCGTCTCAGAAGATCTGAAGAGGGAGATGCTGGGGAGCCCCATCAGCCCGGATGCCCTCTTCAGCCCTCAATGTAAGTCAACGTTGGAAAAGCTGCAGAAAACGCAACGGATTCTGAGACGCTTTGGGACCTTGTGCGGCTTCGCTCCAGCTCCTGTGTCCCTCGCTCTTCTGGTGGTTGGCAGGACTGCCATAACCAGTGGCAAGAGTTCAGGTGCTCCACGGCAGCCTCCTGCTCCCGGCAGCAGAAGCAGCACTTCCCAGCGCGGCAGCCTGCGACCCAGAGAGGCCGTCATAGGTGGAAAGGACAGAGGACACAGCCCCAGAAATTACTCTTAGAGGGGAATGTGTGTGACTTTGAATCTGTTAACTGTTTGTAAATAAAACCCAAACTTTACTCTGAGGGCAAGACTCTAGCAGATTACAGCCTTGCAGTGAGATCGGCCAATCTCACTGCAAGTTCATGAATTCTCCGCACATGGTGAGGCCTGATCCCAGAGAAGATCTCTGCGCTCAGCCTAGGTTCACTCACGCTGCAGTGAGGGTTTATTCGGTTGGTGACTTCTGCTTTTATTTGTTTTTAAATCTTCATTACTCTCTCTGTGACCAGAGACGATGAAGACCAAAACGAGCAGGCATAGCTATGTTGCAGCTAACTGTTTGCTTTCAGTTCCTGCTCCTCTCAGGGGTTGTTCACCTGCTCTGTTCATTGTTAGACAGTTACTTTTCATAACTTGTCCTCTTCATCATCACCAGCAGGTTGATCTGAACCTCAGCCCAGACATCTCCTTTGTGGAGTGTACCACGACGGAGAGGATGCCAGCTTAATGACCGCAGAGTGTGACCTCTGTGAGCCTTTGGCCTCTTCGTTACTGTTTCAGTTTATCTCCACTGTTCATAGACTCAGGTCTATCATTCAGCCTCCGCCCTGAACAGAGAGGTTTCCCCTATCGGCGGTTCAGCTGCACATGGTGCTTCTGAGTGCGCAGTAACACACACTGGAGGCTGAGTTTAAGTTTCTTGTGAGAACAGGTGGCTTAGGCTTGTGGTTCGGTTGGACCCAGTGAGGCATGGACCACATCCTTCTTCGCCTTTAACCCACCTGTGAGAGCCTTAAAGGGCCAAGCCTTTAGGAAATAGAACTTTGGTTACGTACTGTAACCCCAGATTTTATGAATATAGGTGTAGCCCTTTAAGTTCTGCGGCTCACTAGTACTTAAATGGCTTAAGAAAAATAGCTATTTGGGAGCCGATTGCCCGGTCTCACTGTTATTTATATTGACTGGAGTGGGGCCCACACAGCAGGTGGACGTGAAGTAAATTATTTTTCTTTCTAACATAGATGTCTTCCTTCATGCCAGGTGGTTTGAGATGGGCGTGAAGGAAGCCATTGATCAGCAATGCCAACAATTCCCTCTAATGACCCCCCTTTCAGAGACATAGCAGGTATCGGGTAATGCAGGCTAACAAAGAACCTAAATGACTGCCCATTCCTAAGGGTCGGACCCGTTCGTCTGGTTCAATTTGCATGTTTTCTAAGCCAAAACAAGGCTTTGTTTTTGGCCAAGTCTATAAGGCCTCAAACTCAACGTTATTTCTGACATTTTGAATTGAAACAGCTTCCTGGATGGGAAGCGAAATGTTTTCTAACTTGGAAATAATGTCCAGTGAATTGTTTTTTCTAACTTTTTTGGAATTGCCAAGTGTGTTCGATGCAGGAAGCTTCGTGGCTTTTTGGAACACCAGCTCATGTCTGACCTGCCTGAAGAAAGCATCAAAAGGGATCCATGATTGATGGATGTCAATGTCGACAAATGTCCACATTTGCCCTTTCTGTTTTAGTCTTTTGTTGCTTGTTTCCCTTTCCTGAAAGGAATATCTGAAGCATCTGGATAAAACGAAATCCAGCATGTATGTTGCTGCTGCTGCTTTGGTAAAGTAAATATAACACAGACAAGACAAGACAGACAGACAGACAGACAGACAGACAGACAGACAGACAGACAGACAGACAGACAGACAGACAGACAGACAGACAGACAATGCTATAGTTAGGCTGCTCCATAAAGCCAGATGATGAAGCTTGTAAAATAGGTACGTAAATCATATATAAAATATATATACATTAAATGAATAATTCTCTGATCTGATCAACTCATCTTGTTTGCAAATTGTCTCTAATGTATTTTGTACAAAGAAAATGACAAAACTCATGAAAGTAATAATAATGATTGAACTTTACTTTGGAGTAAACTTTCACATTGGAGAAATGTCCCTCTGCATTTAACTCATCCTCTTGGGTAGCACTGTACTGCAATTGTGCAGAGCCTAAGGAGCAATTGGGGGTTAAGACTCTTGCTAAGGAGCCCAGAGTAGGGGTAAGTACTTGCAACCCTGTCAGAAAACAAGCACACTGCTCTAATCCACTAGGCCAAAACTCCCCTGTGTCATATTTTTAAAATATTGAAATTATGTGTTTAATTGTATGCATAACTTTAACATGTTATCAAAAGTGTGAAAATGCAGCCTTCAAAAAAATGATAGCAGAGAGATCACTTGCATTTGGTGGTCAATGGCCTTAGGTAAAGGTGAAGCTTTGGGTAAAGGTGGGTCCAACAGAAGCTTTGCTAAAAACATCTTTGAGCTATCCATGAAAATAGGCGGGCGAGAAGCTAGAAAAATGCTTTGATAGTTTAAAATGTGTCTTCAGATTAGTTTTTATAATTTCTCTGGCTAATATCATAATTATCTGTTGGGCGGTGGCCTGTAACACTGTGAGAGGATTAGACAGTGTAAACTAATCATAACAAGATCTTTATTTAATACTAAATGAAATAATGTAATAATAGACAAGTTACGTAATAAAACTATATCTTGTTGGATCTCACTATCCATAAACAATACATTTTCTTTTGCTTTAAAACTTTATTCAAAATGTATTCAAATCTATGTTTAAACATTTAAATGAAATACAAATGAGCAGAAGGGTTTGGAATCCATGTTAGGTTATTAGTGGCATTCCCTTTTCGACCACTAGTTGGCGCCCGAGTATTGGACCAGTGCTAAAGCCGGGGACTACGTCACTCCGCTCTTTGAGATGACTTCCTTTAAACGCATTCAGGGAAACAGTTCTGTTGTATTTGTTATGGACCAGTGAAAACTGACCCTCTGCTTAAAGTAAACGCACCAACACGCTTCTTATTGACAAGAAACGAATGAACGATGTGGAGTTATAGATGATAACTTAGCAGGAGAGCAGGCAGGAGGGCGGAGAGTCAGGTAGGACACTAAGAAGTTACCTATTTAGCTAGTTAGCTTTGTTGCTAACGACTTTAAAACTTTATTAGTCGTGTGCATTAGTTTATCTTTATGTAGGCACTATTTTCATAGTGTGTCGGGGGGTGAAAAATTGTGATAAAGTGAACTGTTACACCGAGCTGTCGCTGTGTTTCCACTCAGAGCGCCACGTCACTGATCCACGGAGAGAAAAGCAGCAGCTCATTACGAGTCCTAAAGATTAGAGATAAAAGGAACCAAAGCAGCGCGGAGGTCCTTACTGCGCTCCTGCCTGGGCCATTTTCTGTTGTGTAAGAAGAAGAGACTGCCACACACCTAGCAGGTCAAAATGACTGCGTCAAACTCGGGCCTGATCATGAACGTAGTGAACAGCATCGTGGGAGTCAGTGTGCTCACCATGCCCTTTTGCTTCAAACAGGTTGGTCCCTCACAGCTGCTGGGTATGATCCTCTTTAGGCTCTTTCTCTATGTAATCAGCCATATGCTGGTGTACTTTAAACTGATTGTGGACTACTTCAAATGTATCTAGATTGTCATTTCTAACAGATAATAAAATGTATCAACTTTTAAAGGGCCAAATATCTTAATCTCATTGAGATTAGGGTATTTCTTTCATTTTTTTTCTCTGAGCAACTTGGTTATTAGTAGTTAATTATAGACATATTTTCCCCAAAAGTTTTATGGTTGAAGTAATTCTATTGAAAAGGCATTAAAACAGGTGTATGTTCCAGATTACATGTGTGGAAATGTATTGTTATACATAATAAGACAACTAAAGCTGAAATGTTGATTTT